AAATTGCCCATTCTCTCTTCTGAAATGTAATACCCCATCTCCTCCCTTTCTTCTTTGTTCAAAATATCTTATATGCCAGTGTTGCCTCATAGTCTTTGTAATTTCCATAACTATGTGAATTTCCATGCACAGGCATTAAAACTGATTTTCTCCTGTTAATCTTTGTTAATTTGGTTATTAGCTCAGCTAGAAGGACTCAGAGCATAGGAGGAAAAATATGAATATTTTTTAGCCTCTAAAATTGCCTTACTGGAATTTCTTCCTTAAGTGTTAAAGTGGAAGTAAAAACACTTTGCTACTGATTAACTCATCAATCCATCTTGCCCATGTCCTCTCTTTCTATGCTGGAAGCTCTCCACTAATTCTCTCTCTCTCTCTCTCTCTCTCTCTCTCTCTCCTCTCTTGTTATAATTTCTTTTTATATTTTTCTGAAGCCAGAGGAGATTAGATTGTCTATTTTTACTCTTTTCTGGATGGGATCCATCTGTATATCATAATCTTCTCCCTCCATTGAGATGCATAAGGGTCTATTACAGATTTTGGAAAACATTTTTCTGTTCTGGGGACCACAGTATTTCAGTAGGATTGTAAACATAAAGTTCTGTCATAATATAATTTGCAGCAAGGCTTTTTATTAATTCCCTGAAAGCACAATTAAGTTTATTAATTCCCTGAAAAAAAAAAAGCTTTCATGAGCAGCTTCCTTTTACAAGTACAAAGATACCATTTCCTTAACCTCAAGTGACAGAGTTAAAGGAAAGAGTAAGAAGGTGGCCATTCTATAGCTCTTTTGCTTCTAACCTGGACATTCTGGTGTATTACACTAGTGTATGGCTCCACTCCCATATGCTTTTGCAAATTAATTTTTTAAGAGAGAAATGAATTGATTTTACTAATTTTAGAGAGAAAAGAATAGAGAATAGAGAGATAAAAATTTCAATGATGAGAGAGAATCACTGATAGGTTGCCTCCTGCACACCCCCTTCTGGGGATCAAGCCTGCAACATGAGCATGTGCCCTGATTGGAATAAAACTGGTGACCTCTTGGTTCATGGGTTGATGCTTAACCACTGAGCAACACCAGGTGGGCTCATATGCTTCTGTGACCATGAGCTGAAATAAGTCCTTACAGTAACTAAGGAACAAGAAGAATTCTCAGATAAATATTATCTGCACACACAAAGGCTTCAACATTGTTTCAGGCCTTATTCTACAGCCAAATTCTTTTCACTCATACCATAAATATTTGTGAATCTGGAATCTGTAAGTCAAGAAAATGTTTAATAACCATGAGTTTCAAGTCAATTCTCATATTATGTGTTCTGATTGCTTTGATTTGTGACCTGATTGCTTTGTGACCTGATTGCTTTGATTTGATTTTCTTTTTCTTTTTGTCTCAAAGACATAACTTTTATTATTCTCACTATGTTATAAAGTTTTATCAATAATCTAATGACTACCACTACTTAGAATGTCAGTGGAACATAGAGTAGGATCAAAGGGAATGCAGCATTTTAATGAAACTGTTTATTTTTTAAATAGCTATGTGGTTGGATTGAAATGTTACAAGATGTTCAGGAAGAACTTTCTATATTCTATTAATTCTGTTATCGGGCTTGATATTACAGAGTGTTCTTGAATCTTCAACCTTAGTGATTTCACTTTGTGATCAGCCTGAACAGTTTCCAACTTGGAGATCACACAAAAGCATTATCACTTCAAAGTTGCCTAAATTATACCTCTTCCTGCTATCGAATACATCAAATCTGGACAAAGTTTCCTTCACCTTGAACCTATTTTTCATTTGGTTGTTTTTCCTTTCATTATCTCACTGCTGCAAAACTTCCCATTGTTTTCTCTAAATGACCATATCTGTACTAGACTTTATTTAAGGAGAGTTCTTTCTCCCCATCTGCAGGTTCTGTGAGGTTAATAGAAGCCATGGATATCTTCCCATTTGAAATACACACATCCCATTCTTTATTGTTTATTCCTTGAAAAAAAAATGCATCTCCATTCAAATCTCAAAAGCTAGGTTGATGTACTTTTATGCCATTGATCAGAACTAAGAGGCTAGCAAATCATGGCAATCACTGAATCCTTGAGAAGGTCCTAGAGAAAGACATCCTTGGATTATAAAACTAGCTAGAGACTGGGAGAATATTTATATCTCAAAAGGGTAGAGAAAGAATTTATGAATGCAAATTTTCTAAAGTAAATGTATAAGAACACATTTATTATATTTTAGTAATATAAGGGGCCTATTGTCAGAAAGAAACCTAACTGAAATTCAGGCAAAGTGAGGAGAACATCAATGCCATCTAAAAGTTTGGGTTTCTCGGTTCAATAAGAAACAACTTATTGATTTTGTAATTCTTCATCTCTTTTACATAGTTATTTTTTTTAAGTTGATTTCTTAGGGTGGATTTTCTATTTTCCTCTCACTTCTTTTTCCTAAAGTGTTAAAAATATTTTTTAATTCTTTTTATGGTGATTAAAAATAAAGTAAATTCTTAGTAATTAGGGCAAACTTATTGGAGAGACTCTGCTTCTGAAGAGGATGGTCTGAGCAGACCAAAGGGGAGTATTTTCTTTGTGTTTTGATAAGCAAAGGGCAAAACAATGTGCATTTTCATTATCAAAGATCACATGGTTGTTGATAAACTTAAATATTGTAGGTCCCAAGCCATTAATTGTGTGAATAATTTGCTTCTCTATAACTGAATAAGGATAATTACGAAGTGAAGAGAATGAAGCAGGGATAAAATATTTAATGTACTCACTGCATTAATTTCTAGTTTAATTTCCATAGTCTATTTTTTTCTTATTAGATAAAAAAAAATTCCTAGTCCAGAAACATTGTAATATTCAATCTTCAATATTGAATTTTGAGCTATAGGAGGGAAAATACTAATCTCAGAAGACACATAAGAGACTACTTTCATACAACATAGATGGCATTTATTCTCCTGAATTGCCATATATTTCTTTTCTTGTCTTTTCAAAAACAATTTGTTTCTCAGAATATTAACAAGGTATTTTTTATCTGTTTTACTACTACCATCTATATCTAAAATGTCTATGAGTTAATCATAGAATAGTGATCAATAAATCCAAGCATTCTTAAATTATCCATTTATCTATGATTTGAAATTTTTTGTATCTATAAACAAAAATATAATTTAAATAATAAAAATAATAAATGTTTAAATCTCAAAAGCTAGATTGATGTACTTTTTCACCTTTTTATGCCTATAAGAAGTATAGATCTTCTATATATATGTCCTGCAGAATGTGTTTATCATGTTGGACAAACAGAGCAAATAATCGAGATGATGCTTACTTGTTCAAAAAAGAGAATGATTCCCTTGTTCTCCATGAGCCCTGAGTCAAAAGTAATTTAAGTGACTTGGCAATAATGTTTTATGTTGTTGTGGGTTTTTTTTTTTCTCCATTCAGATTTAATAAAGAGAATACCCAAAATACAGTTCTAATTGGCTTCAGCCTTAGTAGAAGATAATGTTATTTCAATTTTGTCATATCTTTGGGAAAGAATAGAATAGAAAATCAAACGGAAATTCTCATAACAGAATTCCTATTCACTTTCGGTTAAATTCCAGTATCTATTAACTTTCAGTTAAATTTTGATAAAGTGTTTAATAGAACTTGAAATTTAATTCTAGTTGCTCAACTAATACTTTCAGTCTCTCCCTCCCTCAATACTTATTTTTATCCACAACAATCAGATATCCTATCTTCACAGTTTACTACAGCAATGAGAGCTGCAATAGATACATGGTAGGTGTTTGATTAATTTCTGTTGAATTAATCTTACATGGAGATTGAGCTAAATGGTTTTACATATGTCAGATGATGGTAAAATTCTCAGTCATGTTCTAAGGTCTAAATAGAAGGTTTTAAATTATTTAACTAACATTTTATAGAGTGTAAAAATTTGTTGTAGAAAGAAATAATACTTGGACATATTCCTTCATTGGTTTGTTCAGAAAGCCTTGCCAAGATTCTGAATATTGATACATGTTGTCATGGCCAACACCTCTGTTGCTGTAGAATAAGGATAATTAATGTTCACTGGCATTCTTTTATATCCAGATGCTTAGTGCTTTCTTTGGCCTTAGACCACTTGGACATCTCCTGACTTCAATGCCTTCTTTGGGCGTAGTAAGAGAGAATCAATGGACTGTTGCTCCTAACATCTACTCATGTAGTCTGGAGAACAATTTCAGTTGCTTTTCTCCAATATCTACTTTAATGGACTTTGGAAAACTTGCAAATGGGGTAAAAAATAAGTCCAAACTACATAGAAAAAAAGAGAAATGCAATCTGATGTTATAACATAGGATATTTGCACATTGATTTATGAATCCTATTTGAGTGACTAGACCCTTTTTCAGGTACAAATAAGCTATATAAGGTAATTTTCAAACACATCAGTATGCAGTCATTATTTTTTTCATATACATTTTAAATAAAAGTGATATGTATTATAAAATCACTTAACCACTCTGAATTTTAATAGTTTGTGAGTAAAATTAAATATCCTCAATGGCAATTGCAGTCTAAATTTCCATTTTGGATTTCTCATTACATTAAGATTCATTTTTCACATTAGGAGCATTAAAACATTAAATGTGATTATTTAAACACATTTCTCCTGACTATTATGTGAATTGCTACAAAATTATTTTTACTTGGTCACTCAGCAATTTATACCCATAATATTGTAACTGTTAATGTTCCTTAGAGATACTGATTTCAAGAGGAGTTAGCAAATGATATTTTGCTAGGACAATATACCAGCTTTTTCTAGATACCATCTCTTCCAACAGGCACTATTCAACGAATCAAGAAATGTTCTTACTTTTACTAAGCCTCAGTAATCAAGACTGCAAAAAAAGAAGTCTATAAATGAAATTACTATTTTTCTTCCTTATTTTAACAACTGAATGAAAACAGAAGGTCCTCAGAAATAATTAATAATGAAGATTCTTCTCTTTTCTTTTATTTTGTTCTTCTTTGGTGTCTTCATGCTATCAGGTAATATGAATATTATTGCCAGTGGGGTCAGCACTAAAGGGGGGAAGAGGGTTGGAATTTTTAAAGTGACTATTATTAATATTATACAAACATTGTATTAATACCATCAGCAAGACCACATTATATTTATATATATCTCCTAGATAGATAAAATACTTGAATACATTTTCAGGGGTAATACACTAATAAAACCCATAATTAACTTTGATTACATAAGAATATATATATATATATATATATATATATATATATATATATGTAATTTATTGGAATAGTGCTACAGTGGTATACTCTATCTTAGAAATGTGTGTTTATTCAATATTCAAATTCTTCTTATTTAATATACTAATAATCTTTTAAATGAATGTGGAATAAATTTATGCTTGGAAAAAGTTGATGACAGAGGGTAAGTAAGGTTAAATGACTTCTAAAAGTAAAAATTTTATTACATTCATAACTAAGACTAGCCATTCATCTACTCATTTTCAGTTAAATTCTTCTTTTTCTTGCTACTTTCCCTCAATCACCATGATAACTTCATTACTGAGTTCAAAGAAGATTAGCATAAAATAAATGTATTGTATCCCATTCTTTCACTTCTACTCTTCTCTAATAATATTCAAACATAAATAGCTTTTAGCTGACAATTTCTCACCAAAAAGGGATACGTGAATGAACTTCAATTAATAATATAACTCTTGTAACTCAAGGAGTTGGAATTAAGTTAAATAAGTAATTTTTTTTCCTCATCATCTTCATACAAATTAATTGTAACATGCTCATTAAAATGTCATCTATTTCTAGAGATTTTCTGATACATTATGTAGATTTACCTAGATTTCAATATGAGATGATGCTTTTTTTTTCTTAACCATGACTTTACTAACTAGCATCTATTCTGTCTTTTGCCCACACTAATTCATTATTTCTTCCTTACTAAAGCAATGTGAGCACATTTTATTAATAGCCAAGATGTTCATTTACATTTCCAACCCAACTTTAAAGAAATATATGCTATATATGTATTATTTTCTAAAACCTCTCACAGTTTATGGGATCATGAAATAAAAATAAACATATTAGTGTCCTTATTTCAAAACATTTTTTTCTTATACCTTCGAAGTAACCTTTTTCTTTTGCAGTGGGCTCTGGCCAACCTGATATCGATTCTTTGCCAGAAGCAGTACCATGTAGAAGGAAGTTTGAGAAGGCATACTCATTATTTGAAAAGGCACAAACTCATGCAGGTGAAATAAACACAAGTAAAATAAAACAAGTATAATTCTATCTTACACATTTAATTATTAACTGTCAAGTGCAATGAAGGAAATATTCTAAATATGTTCTTTGTCCAAGTCCCAATGTATTTAGGTCTTGTTTTTCACCTTCCAGTTTTATGAAGGCAGATTTTATGTTCAAAATGAGAAAGGAGCTTTATTTTAAAGTAATAGAGTCTTTTTTTTTTATGAAACACTGTATAGATAAATGTCTTTCCTATTTCAGAGGCAATGTTCTCCAATCATTGCTCCCAACATTGTTTTTGTTTGTTTGGTTTTTAATGTTGCTAGTGCCATTATGTTTAGGATTCAGACTGCTATCTTAGTTTTCCTTTAGTCAGTCTCCACTGTCCATTGTCAATAATCTTGATATTTTTGGAAACATAAAAATATATACTATATAATAAAATGCCAGCCACCAAAAGTGCAATGATTGGAACAACCAGAGACCAGAACCACCACGGTCCTTTGCCAAGATGGCCCCATCCCCCAAGCAAGCAATTAGGGGAGATCAGACAGGCAGAAAGAATAGTTAGGGGTGATCAGGCAGGCAGACCATCAATTAGAGGTGATCAGGTAAGCAAACAAGTGGTTAGGAGCAATCAAGTAGGCAGGCCAGTGGTTAGGGGCAATCAGGCAGGCAGGCAAAATGGTTAGGGGTGATCATGCAGGCAGACCAGTAAGGGGTGATCAAGTAGGCAGGCAAGTGATTAGGGGCGATCAGATAGACAGGCCAGCAGTTAGGGGTAATCAGGAAGGCATACAGTCCTCGCCAACCTGGCCCCACCCCCAAGCAAGTGGTGAGAAGCAATCAGGCAGGTAGGTAGAATGATTAGGGCTGGTCAGGTAGGCAGGACCAAAATGGTAGGCAGATAACCCCTTGCGGGGCTGACCCTGCCTCCCAGCAAAGAAAAAGAGAGGCCCAGGCTATTGGCAGCAACTCTGTGGCAGGTGTACAGCTAGCCAGAGATTGCCCCATAGAGGGAAGCCCAGGCCAACCAAGCCATCACACCCCACTCCTGTTGCCTGCAGAGAGAGACCACCAGTGGCAAGGGATGGGGAGGCTGTGCTGCACAGAAGGCAAGCAGTGGCAGCCATGGGGGTGGGACCAGCTGTCTGCAGCCCCGGGAAGGAAAGCCCTGATAGGCCCTGATATCAGGCCAGGCCTAGGGACCCTTCCTAGGGCTCCCGGATTGTGAGAGGGGTGCAGGCTGGGCTGAGCGACACTCCTGAGTGCATGAATTTTCATGCACCAGGCCTCTAGTCCTAAACAATAAAAGCCCAGCGACCAAATGGCCGAATGACTAGAATAACCAGTTGACCAATTGCAATGATGCACATTGACCACCAGGGGGCAAATGCTCAACGTACGAGCTGCTCCCTGGTGGTCAGTGCACTACCATCATGGGAGTACTGCTCTGATGACTAGGATGAGCAGCTGCACCCACTGTGAACCCTGAGCCATGGGCGGGCTGCAATTGTTGCCTCCTCACCCCAGGTTCCTCCTCCTAGCTCCCTGCCACCTCCTCTAGATGCCCACAGGCCATCCAGTGCCACCACTGGGTTCACAGTGCTGACCATGGAGGTTGAGAGGTGGATTCGTGGCCACAGCAGGACTGAAGGTTACTCCACCACCTTTCAGTGCCATTGTCCCTGGGCCTGGCCCTGGCTGGGTTCCCTGGAGAGGCAAGTGCTCTGGCTCTAAGGAAGATGCCCACCAGGGAGCAGCCGCTCAGCGACCATGATGAGTGGCACTCCTACAGTGGGCAGATCTCTGCAGGCCACGCCCCCACCAGTGCCTGAATCCTATATACAAAAAGCAATTAAAATATCCTTATTAATTCCAAAGATGGTATAATTAAGATAACTTGAAGAGGAAGTTGAGCAACAAAAGTCTATACGGGGTGTTGGGGAATCATTTAAAAAGAAACTCTTCATTGTTTTAGTCTTTACCTCAATCATGATTTAACATACCATTTAGCAAAATGTCTTAAGTTAGCATCTTATAAACTCCTTGTGAGTGATATAAGTACATTTCTATGGGAGGGTAAAGAGTTATTTTGTGACAGTGTTAAGAAAGAGACCCAGTGATGAAGCTTTGGTCAAGTTAATATGCATAGGGACCACATGTTTTCTTTAGCTTTGCTTTGTTTTGCAGCTATATCCATGATAAAATGTGGTTACCCCATTACTTGCTGTACAATAGGTACTCAACAAAGATTTATTTAATGAATCAATGAATGAATGAATAGATAGATGCAGGGATAGAGGGAAAGAGGAGAACTAAAGAAATAGTCTTGAGGATTGCACAAATTTAGAGAGCAAAAAGAAAAAAAGATGAAGACAAAGATATTACATAGATATTTGATTCATATTAATGCATTAAACTTTTAATTTATATTTTGTGATTTTTATTATAATACAAGAAAATATTTTTTAAAGAAAAGAATGGAAGAGTTTGGGCAAAATTGTTCTTTTCTTAGAATGCTCTGTGTAATATGTTGCTCTGTATTTAGGCCTATGCTGAGTTTGTTTGGATTATGAGACAAACCTTTCCCACCTGAGAGTAAATTTTGGGTATATACTATTTTTATTGTTAGTTACAAATGATGTGCAATTGCCAGTCAAACAGGGCCATTTAGAGTGCTAGCTCCTAAAACTGATCTGCAAATCCAGCATATTATTAAAGAACTAGTGGAAACCAGTTTGGCTCAGTGGATAGAGTATAGGCCTGCCCACTGAAAGGTCCTGGGTTCGATTCCGGTCAAGGGCATGTGCCTTGGTTGCAGGCACATCCTCAATAGGGGGTGTGCAGGAGGCAGCTGATTGATGTTTCTCTCTCATCAATGTTTCTAACTCTCTATCCTCTCTGTAAAAACTCAATAAAATATTAAAAAAAAGAAAAAAAAAAAAAAAAAAGAAAGAACCAGTTCACAAATTCGTGCACGGATGGGGTCCAGCCAGCCTGCCACAATCAGTGCTAATCAGACCAAGCTGGCCAGGGGGAGGGGATGCAGGCCATTGGCTGGCCAGCCCCATCCCCAATTGGGGTGGGGAGGTTGGGGGTAGGTCCAGCCAGAGGGAAGGGGTGCAGTCATTTGGCCAGCCGACCCCCACTCTTAGTTGAACTTTGGATCAAGGGGACAATTTGCATATTAGCCTTTTATTATATAGGATAGGATACTGAGGGATAGTGTAGTCTCAAAAATCTTCATTACCTAAAATACTTGCTGCAAAATGTATCAGTAGTATTACTCCTTAATTTTAAGTGATATGTATATAAAAACCCACTATAAAAATATTATACTAAAATGTTTTTAGTTAAGGGATAGATTAATTACAGAATTAAATAAATTTAATTTCATAATAAAATGAAAAGGTATGTGGGATGAAAGCATGCTGATAGGCATCGCTGACAATGGCTCATCCACTCTGGTTCACCTTTTAAAATATGCGTAGTAGGGCTTTATTATATTGGCCCAGGAAGGTAGATATGTACTTTCTAAGACAAGATATTTCGTTATTACAATAAAAGCTTAAATGTTAAAAAGTCATTTATTATATTGAACCAACATCTGCCTCTCTGTTGATCTGCACCATTTATTTCTAGTTTTGTTCTGTGGGGATAGAGGAAATGAAAAAAAAAACAAAACAAAACAAAAAAACATTTCTTATATTTCAGAACTTCTGTTAGGGACAAAATCACCTCATTTCTAAATCTCTAAGTCATTCCTTATGATTGTGGACATTATAAAACTAAAGAAATTACAAGACCAACTAAGACTGAGAAAAAAAATTTTTTTTTAAAAGTTTTTGTTGTTTTGGAAACCTAAGTGTGAAAGAAGGAAAAAGCAGGGGAGGGAGGAGTAGCAGAGGCAAATTAAGAGCCTTTTTGAAATGTTCCTTCCTTCTGTTAATTTCCCATTTATTATGCTAATTTCCCAAAATACCTGTTTTTAAGCAGAACTCCTGGGGTGAGGGTGGGGTGCAGACCCAAGAAGACTATAGATATTTGAGTGAAGTAGTGCAGTGGTTTTCGGTATTTTAGAGCTACTGAAGTCAGGACAGATACAATGAACAATGAAACCTTTTGGGGGATGAAGGGCTTCATCATGGCACAGGACCAAGATTATGAGTAACAAAGGAGATGATGGCGCTGGGCCCCCTCATTATTCAGTGGTCCCAGGGCATGAGCCAGACAGACAGAGGGGGGCATTAATTTTTATTTGTTTTTTAATATATTTTATTGAGTTTTTACAGAGAGGAAGAGAGAGGGATAGAGAGTTAGAAACATGGATGAGAGAGAATCATCGATCAACTGCCTCTAGCACACCCCCTACTGGGGATGTGCCCGCAACCAAGGTACATCGAACCCTTGGCCGGAATCGAACCCAGGACCTTTCAGTCACAGGCCGACGCTCTATCCACTGAGCCAAACTGGTTTAGGCAAGAGGGGGGCATTAATAAACTGAAAGCTCTCCAGGTATCTCTTATTGGTTCACTACATAATCACTTGGACATGTGTAAGGGTGAGACATTCCGCTTAGGAATTGGATGTGCGTTGGTTTCCTTGATTTACTTTGGTATAGATAGGGACAGAACTATTAAAAAAAGAAAAAGTAAAAGAAAAAAATTGTTTTCTTTTCTCTGTGGTCTCTATTTTCTTGTGTGACTTTTATTAAATCTTGGCATTTTTTTTAACTTGGATTATTAATTCCATCTGTTCTTGCTTTCTTTCAGCTTCAAGAAAAGTGGACCCTTTTGCCTTTAATCGTTCAGAGATATGTGTACTGCTAAGTGGTCAATGTAAAAGGCAGTGTGGTGAAAAAGAATTTAGGATGGTATATTGTGTAATACCTACAGTTTTCTGTTGCATAAGAGAATGTGAACCTTATGAGTACTATTAACTGGAGAGCCTCATTCACGAAAAAAAAAAAAAAAAGAAGACCAACATCAACTGTCTTCTCATTCCTTCATTACTTCTCTTACTTCATTTGTGGCCTAGTATTTCTGTCCATACAAGTCTCTGATGATAAAGAATTAAATAAAACAGATTCCAGCCTAAATCACTATGAACACGTGCCTGCTTGAAAGAAAAAGTCAGAATACAGAGTGGAGATTTGAACTCAGGAATAGATGCAGAGTGAAGAACAGTCCGTGTTAGAACTACTGTGTTAAGAGGGATTCTGGGGCCAATCTATGTTTAGTATGCTGTTATAAAGGTCTGGGTGCAGGGTCTTAGTGTGGGCATAAGTTTTCAACTCCTGTGGGTAAACACCAAGAATCATTATTGCTGAATTGTATGATAACATAATGTTTAGTTTTGTAAGAAACTATCAAACTCTCTTAAAAGAGGCCATACCATTTGCATTCCTACCAGTAGTGAGTGACAGCTCTTGTTGATCCCTGTCCTCTTCATCATTTAGTTTGTCAGTGTTCAGGTTTTGGCCCTTCTATTAAGTGTGCGATGGGATCTCGTTGTTTTCATTCACATGACATATAATTTAGAACATATTTTTGTATGCTCATGTTTTCCATCTGCATATCTTTTTTGGTGAGGGGTCTGGTAAGATCTTTTGCCCATTATTGGATCAGATTATTTGCCTATCGTTGAGTTTTCAGTGTCCTGTATATATTTTGAATGACAGCCCATTATCAAATAAGTCTTTTGCAAATATTTTCTCCTAGTCTCTGGCTTATCTTCTCATTTTCTTCACATTGTTTTTAATAGAGCAGAAGTGTGGGTTTATTTTTCAATAAAACTTAGTTTATTAATTATTTCTTTAATGGATTATGTCTTTGGTGTTCAAGTATCTAAAATGCCATCACCATTCCCAAGGTCATCTGTGTTTTCTTTTATGTTATCCTAGAGGAATTTTATGGTTTTTGTATTTTACTTTTAGATTTGTGGTCCATTTGAATGAATTATTGGCAAGAGTAGAAACTGTCTAGATTTGTTTTTTTGCATTTGAATGTCTAAGCTAGTCCATCACCATTTGTTAAAAAGACTAACACTGCTCAATTATATTGCCTTTTCTTATTTATCAAATATATATTTATGTGAGTCTATTTATGGGTTCTTTATTCTATTCCATTAATCTGCTTGCCTATTCTTATGCCAACATCTCCACTGTCTTGATTACTATAGTCTTACAATAAGTCTTGACATCAGGTTGAGGCAGTCCTCTAACTTTGCTCTCCTTTATTAATGAGTTGATTACTCTGGGTCTTTTGCTTCTTCAAACAAAATTTAGGATCAGTTTGTGGATATTTACAAAATAATGTCCTGGGATTTTGATGGAATTGCATTTAATCTATAGAACAAATTGGAAAAACTGACTTCTTGACAATCTTGAGTCTTCCTATCCATGAGCATGAAATTTATTTAGTTCTTTAATTTCATTCATCAGAGTTTTGTACTTTTTCTAATATACATATTTTTTTTAGATTTATACCTAAGTAGTTCATGTTTGGGGGAAATGGTACTATGTTTTTACTTTCAACTTTCACTTGTTTATTATTAGTATGTAGGAAAGTGGTTGTTTTTTATATATTAACTTCGTATCCTACAACCTTGCTATAATTGCCTATTAGTTCCAAAAAGGTTTTTTTGGGGGTGAGGGGATGACAGGGGATCCTTTCAGATTTTCTATATAGATGACCATGCCATCTGTGAACAGTGATAGTTTTAAGTATGTCTTTCCAACCGGTATACTTTTTATTTTCTTCTCTTGTCTTGTTGCATTAGAATTTCCAGTATGATGTTGAAAGGAGGTGACTCCCATCTTTGCTTTGTAGTTTATCTTAATAAGAAAGCTTCAAGTTTCTCACCATTATAATGTTAGCTGTAGAATTTTCATAGATTTTTTTAATCAAGTTGAGAATGTTCTCTATTCCTAGTTTACTGATAGTTTTTGTTTTTGTTTTAATCATGAATGCTGGATTTTTGTCAGATATTTTTTCTGTTTATATTGATATGACCGAGTGATTTTTCCTGTTTTAGCTTGTTGATATGATGGATCACATTAATTGATTTTTGAATGTTTAGCCATCTTGAATATCTGGGATAAATCTTTTGGACATAATACATACTATTTTATACAGTGTTAGATTTGATATGTTAATATTTGTTGAGTTTTACATCTATGTTTATGAGCAATATTGGTTTGTAGTTTTCTTGTAATGTCTGTCTAGCTTTGATATTGAGAGACCATTTTTAGATTGATGATGTTTTTCTACATCAAAACCTACATCAAACACAGGATGGGAATGGCTGGGAGGGTCAATTGGGGTAAAAGAAGACATATGGAAAACTTTAGACAATAAAAAAATCTATATCCAACATTATACTTTACAGTGGAATATTACATACTTTTCTCCAAGTTCAGAAACAAATTTAAAATGTCACTTTAAGAACATTTCTATACATTATATACTTCATAAGCACTATAAGAATGACAAATAGTATTAAAAGTAGAAAGAAAGCTCTCATTATTCACGTACCATTTGATTGCATATCTAGAAATTTTAAAAATCTGTAATCTACTAGAATAAATATATCAATTTAGCAAGATCTTTAAACAAATTTAATATTAAAAGGTAAATTATATTATTGTATATCAAAAACAAATTAAAAATAAAAATTTAAATTATATTCTTTAAACTATTTTATTATTAAATATATTTTTTATTGATTTCAGAGAGAAAGAGACAGATAGAAACATCAGTGATGGTGATGACAATCATTGATCAGTTGCCTGTTACACAACCCCTATTGGGGATCAAGCCAGCAACCTATGCATGTGCCTCAATCAGGAATGGAACCATGACCTCCTGGTTCATAGGTCAGCACTCGATCACTAAGCAGCGCCAAGTGAGCTGAAAACATTGTTTATTTTCTCTACATTGATTTACAGATCAAATAAATTACAGTTAAAATTTCAGCAGGCTTCCCCTCCTTAAATTGCCAATTTAATTCTGAAATGTGTATGGAAATGCAGAGGCATAAAAAGACAAGATAATTTTGAAAAGAACAAAGTTAGAGAACTTATCCTACTCAATACTAAGACCTGATATATAGCCATTTGAATAGTATGGTATCAGTGCAAGTCTAGAAGTAAACCTACATTTTCGGAGTCACTTGATTTATAACATAAGACTACAAAGGAGAGAGGAAAGAATGAATTTTTTAATAAATAATACTTTTGACTTGACTATCATATGGGGAAAAATTGTATCTTAAATAATTCCAGATTATTACATATATAAATGTGGATGATAAAATAGTAAGCATGGAGAATCTTCATAACAAGGAGTACCAAATATAATATTTTAAAACTCAATACATAAAACTCTGTATTGATTACCTATTTTACTTCTAATCTATTTTTTTTCTTTTATTATACAAGCCATATTTTTTAGGCCCATTGATTTCTGTTTTCTCATGAATTCAGACAATTGAAAGTACCACAGAAAGAGTGCATCGTGGATGAGAAAAACCTCAATATTTTTACTTCTTTTAAAAATATATATTTTAGTTATTTTTTACAGAGAAGAAGAAAAGGATAGAGAAACATCAATGAGAAAGAAACATCGATCAGCTGCCTTCTGCACACCCTCTCCTGGGGATGTGCCCGCAACCAAGGTACATGCCCTTGACCAGAATCAAATTTGGGACCCTTCAGTCCACAGGCTGTCATTCTATCCACTGAGCCATTTTTATTTTCTCTGTTTCAAGGCAGTGTTTCCTGGCACTGTTGGCTACTTCTCTTTTTGGTTATAACTCCCATCATGGTCTCATCTCTCTTCTGGTAACCTGCATTTTAGTTCTAGATCCCACTGTATAGCTTTCAGATTCTGGAAATACTATAGCTTTTAGATCCTGGAAATACAACTTCTGTCTCTGTCTACAGCTACAGGCACAGTATCAGGCACCAGAAACCAGTTATTACTAATTTGTTAATTACATTGCTATTCTGTTTGGCTTCTCAACTTCTCTCTTACCAGTTTAGCAAAATTATGTGTTTTAAATTTCCAGTTGCATTATTTAGTTTTGTTTCTTTGATTATAAATAGATAAATTACACTAAAAACAACTTTAAATAGAATAAACAAAATAAATAAAGTAGATAAAATACAATTACATTTACAAGCTCTCTAGAGTTTAATACATGTACACAGTCATACCTATATTCCCACACACACAAGATATTTTTCTTAGTGTTTGTATTTCATGGAAACTTTCATATAGAAACTTCTCCCCTCAAATTAGAAATGAGTTTTCTAAAGAAAATAAATTAAACATGGGCCATGTACTTTCCTCACAGCATCCTCCTTCTACAAATAAGGAATCTTGGGAATTGAGGAGTTAAAGAACCCAGACTTCCAAAATCAGTCAAGGATATTAATAATATTAATAGCTTAATATGCTCTCATTACATCCTGCTGTCCTATGGAATGTAAAAGCTGAAGTGAACCTCAAGTTTTAAGATCCAGACATACAGAGACAAAGCTGTGTTTACTGATATATTTAGTTAAGCATGTGTAATGCAACCTTGGTTTATTACAAGTTACTTAATTCTTGAAATCAGGTAAATGAATCTTGAAAGATCTTTGCATTACAATGATCATAATGACCAGAACTCCACACAAACAGTTCATTTGACAAATAATTTTAAATATGGAATGTTTCTTCACGCATTAATAATTATTCAAATGTGAGTATTGTACATGTAGCTTTTATATTCAAGTCATTTTCTATGGATTATCAATTGAAGGATTGGAGATAAATATCAGTCCTGGTTTAGTAATCCCATGATGTCTTAGGAATACTTCCTTTTCTTATAATTCTTCAATTTTTCCAAGTATTATAAGAACACCCCCAGAACTCTCCCTGTAATTGTTCACAT